CTCGTTAATGGACATCCCAGAACAATAAAACAATAAAATAACTTCTGGCTATATTTTAATCAAAAGCTACCAAGAAAACTGTTTGGTGCAAAGACTGTTAAAGGCTGCTGCAGGTTGATTAAGGCCCCGTTTCTACTTCTCACCTTAGCCTATACTGCAACTTCTCATGCACGTCTCCAGAGATGTGATCTCCTATAGTCGTCTGTGTTGCAATTCATTCATTCATTTATTCCAACCACACTCCGTACATATGTGTGCATGAGCTGTAGCACAGCCAATCAAATTAACCAGATTTTTTTTTAAGAAGAAAAAAAAACCGCTCAAAGATGCTGCAAGGAGTTATTTTTTTTCAGGTACATAAACTATGAAGTAGTCAACAAAAAAACAAAATACAATATGCAAAACATGCAAGCAGAGAATCACAGACAGAGATGGAAACACTTCCAACTTTGTCCGACAGTTGAAGTTGCATAAAGAACGGTAGGTGGTGCTTCTCTTTTGCTACGATGAGATAGCTCACTTCATATAACTTTGTGACGTCAACTAACTTTAATGTGTATGACATTTTTGTCATGCTATTTTAAAGCCGGTCCTACAAGCGCATCCAAGAATAACATGCAGCTTATCTCAGAACTGTCGGTGAAAATTATTCTTGGAGCGAAGTTTATTTGAGCTGCATTTTATAGAGGTGCAATTTCACAATTTGTGTATATTTTCTAAGTTCACTATTTCGTCATGTGTTGAGAAAAACACATATTTAAAAATCACATGGTCTAACATTTACATTTAGCATAACTGCAACATTCTTTTTTTCTTCTTTTTTAAAGACTCGAAAGGATTCGAAATTCAAAGTTTCAGACTTGTGACTTTACTCGGACTTTTAAACCAGTGACTTGAGACTCGACTCTGACTTGCCTGACATTACTTGAGACTTGACTTGTGACTTGAGAATAAAGACTTGAGACTTACTTGAAACTTGCAAAACAATGACTTGGTCCCACGTCTGGTCAAATGCACAAACACAATATATCTATTTTATGAAGATTTATGAAAATGTTAATATGTGGTTTTTACCATCATGGCCCCGTTTATATATTGGGTCAACTCCAGTGCCTTCTTTCTTTTCTGTGCTGTGATTTCAGTAAAAACATTTGCTAACACTGTGAGTAAGTCTTTGACGCTAATTTGCTATAACGTCAAACTCAGCACTCCCTCTTTGAAGCATTTTCCCAGCAGTGTACCACTAACAGCCCACAGCATTAGAATAAGCAATATAAAGACACATACCATTTAGACTGGTGCTGTTTTGATCTACTGTGTATGTCGAGCTGTTCGTCAGGGACTGCAGAACCGCTGTGGACACATTGCTTATGTCCAGGCTTTGACTCGGGATAAACACTATGGTGAAGTTGACCATCACGCTCCCCGGGAAAAAGTTTCTGATCTCGATCCTGACTCGGCCTGAATCCACCATGGCTTTCACCTCTGGAGACAGAGACTGGTAGATCTGGTTGGTGACACAGGAAACAGGCTCAAGTTTGTGGAACTTATTCAAAATATTTTCATTTGCACATCACTTTAGTCACTGGATACTTACCTCTTCTGTTATACTCTCACTGAGGGTTTTGTAGGCCTGACTGCTGGTGTTCTGGAGGTCAGCTGTGAACTTTATGTTGGTAAGTCGTGTTGTGGCATCGAGAGTCTGAGCGTCTACAAAGAAAACCTTCATTATGCACAACAACCACATTTACCGCGAATAAATGTCGACCATCCTGTTGGCCTTTTGATAAAACACTGATTCTTTTCTTCATCACACATTAGTCATTAAAGACTCCTCACTCCCTCAGGGTGGTAACTGTGGCTAAGTTCTTATTTTCAGAAATCTGGGTCAGTCACTTTCTTCACTTGTGGCTCAGACAAAAAAACATTTCCAGTATTCTTGTTGTTCTTTTTCTGAAAATACTTCCACAGAGGAGAAATAAAGATTTGACCTATATTTTGACTTCTGAGGGGAAAGTAATGCATTTCTGTGTGTCTAGATTCTCAGTCATGCAGGTAACAGGAGTCTTAAAAGCTCGGAAAAAAGGCAGCTGAGCTTCTTTAAGCTGTGACACCGTTTGGCTTCACATCCAAGAGGCTCCCTACCTGTTGTTGTTAGAACTGAAGAAGCGTCTTGGATGTGACGCCGAACAGCTTCACCAACTTAAACAACTCCAGTTTCCTTCTGTTTTCACTTTTCTCTTATGACAGTTACACATTTTATGATTTCTTCTTCTAATAATAACCATGCAGATATCCAAAAAACAGTGTTAAGTGTTATAATAATGTTATAGGTTACATATTGTCACAGCAATATAACATTTCTATAATATCTGTATTGTTCTTTGTATGCTGCTGCTAAATGTCCATCTTTGCACATTCGCAGACTCTCCCATTGGTTGATCTTTATCTATAAATCTCTGCTAGGGCTGGTTCCATCTTATTTATGTGTTTATATGTGTAAAAACCACAACCAATAAAGCCTCGTTTACACAAAATCATACAATTGATTGTCCCAAAAATCAGAACAGAATTGGGGAAAAAGGCTTTTAAATACGCTGCCCCTGCTTCCTGGAATAATCTGCAGAAGGAACTGAAATTATCAGAATTGGTTACCTCGGGAGAGTTTAAGTCTGTCTTAAAGGAACGAGAGAATAACTCTTTTACTCAGTGTGATTGTTTTTAACGTACTCTTAATTTGATTTGTTATTGTATATTTTACACATGTTGGTATGGGATATTGTATTTGTTTTAAATGTTATATACCTATGTGGTATGTGACTTTTGTTGCCATGATGCCAGGTCTCTCTTGGAAATGAGATTTTTAATCTCAATGAGATTTTTTACCTGGATAAATAAAGGATTAATAAAAATATTGCTGGGAGCAAAGAACAACAAGTGGAGGTGGAAATGAAAGCCTCTGGTGGAAAATATCACTGTTTCCTGAGAAGTGTGTGTCTCCATGCAGAAACACACACAGAAAGAAAAACGACAAAAAGTGTTTTTCAGCATTTTTAGTCAATTAGTCAGTTTCGTTCTTCTGGTTCAGGCAAAAATATAATAAATAAATACAAATGAATAAAAAATATTTATGAAATTTTTTTAATTTTTTTTAAATTAAAATTTAAAAAAAAATTTTGCATCAATTTGTTCCCAACAAAATAAAAAGTTCAGCCTGAATATTTCGTACATCAAGATCCAATGTGACATGTAAGTGTTTCCTTACTTTTTTAAAAGCACCATCACAATCTAGCCATGCATAACAACAATATGACTGCATAACAAACAGTTATAAATAAAGGTAAAGCTGTACTGAAGGTTACTGGAGCTGTCACACAGATTGGTAGCTCTCGAATACTTTGAACATATACATCAAAATATGAAAGTCAATGTAACAACATCCAAATACTTACAGGTTTTTACTGAGATGTGAAGAGGGGCTCCTCGTTTTCTGCAGGCACGAGGTGTGACGGTAACATTGTAGAGCAGTCCAGGCTTCAGTCCGCTCACCTCTATCGTGGTATCGCTGATTTTCTGAGTCTGAATGACCTCTGACCCTTTTCTTAGAACAACCAGGTAAGTCTGTTTTGTCTCAGCATGATTGGACCAGCAGACAGAGAA